GTTAATTAATTTGACTTTCAAAAGTCAAATAACGATCTTATTCCAACAAGTCATCTATTTTCTGTCGTGCTCGTCCTCATCAGGGTCACGGTTGACCTGGAGCCGGTCCGAGTTGCAGGGCCCGAAAGACAAATGCTCACATTTACCTTGGGCGGGTGTGGCTCAGTTGTGACAGCCACCAAAGTGACCACAGGGTCCGCGGTTTGAGTCCAAAATCTGACTGCCTGCTGTCGAAGTGTCCTTGGGCAAGATACTGAACCCTAAATTGCCTTCAGCCTGGCATTCTAAACGTGAAGCGGTTTTTAAATTGCCTTTGCTGCCTAAACAAAGCCAAAAAAAAACAATAATAAATAAATAAATGTTCGAGTCTTTAAGAGCGTCTTCGGACATGCATGTTTTTGTGTTGACTTTAGAGGACCTCCTATAATTGTCTTTACAGTGTGTGCTATTTGTTATGCATTTGAGCTTCATGCTTGGCTATGTACACACACGCTACCCTCTATTTTATCTTTTTTTTTTTTCCATCAAAACTGTTAAAAAAAAAAACATTTATTCATCATTAAAGCTGAAACGGGACATGAATTGTCCCTGCCACATATGGTAATTCTTCCTGGCCACCAAGAAGAGCATTCCTCATGATTTCAAAGCGTGTGGCTCCCCGGCTCCAGCAGAGGGGGCTGCTCACTGCAATCATATGCTGATTAATTGGGCCTGATTCTCCCCATGCTGGGAACATAAGTTGTGCCACACTGGAGGCTCCATGTTGGTATGCGGCGAAAAGGTCACAGGGCGTCTTCCAGTCACCTTTCAGCAGAGGCGGCCCTTCACATCACGTCCGATGGACATAAAGAAAAGAGCCGTTTCCTGATGATCCCTCATCAAGCCTATATCAAACTAGGCTATGTTCATTTTTATTAATTGTGCATGTTGCTCTCTAATTAGCTAATGAGAGACAAAAAAGCAGGTTTTTTCCAGCAAGAAAAATGCAAATGGCTCTTAGAAAATAGCACCAAAAAAGTAAATGGCAAGGCTGAGAATCGTCCTTCATTGAAATGTCAGAGATAAATGGCTCAAATGTCACATCAATTAAAACGGGGGACAGTTAGTAGTTCATTAAAGAGAGAGCCATATTGCACCGTCGGGTACCGTTGCCAACCCTTACTATCTGGGGCAGACTGGCAGCGGGTCCAGATGGCACAGAAATCCTCACAGATTTCAAAATGGTCTCTGCAGGGGTGGCGTTTTCGAGCCCCACAACCCCCCACCAACCTCACCACTGAGATGGGGTGTGGGCCACCGGCCCACGCTGGCCTGCACATTCCAAACGGAGGCGTGCGGGGAGCCGAAATTAAAATAAGGCTGGCGAGGACAAAGGGCATTTTTTTTAAACAATACAAAAATGACTGAAATATTGTGCTGGAGTTAAATGTACGACTGCTCCAGGGGACATAAGAAAAGTCCGCTCCACTTTCGACTGCATAAAAACTGCAATAAAATGAGTGTGCACTGCCATGTGTGTTGTTTATAGTGACATGCCAGATTTATTAGTTTGTCATGCATACATGCATTCACGCGGATATTTTTTATTCACAGGCATTATGCTCTGGACCCCTATAGACCTCAGTGAGGAGCCACAGGAGACAAGAGAACTGGATAAATGTCTTTGCTATAAGTGGGACTATAACATGTCTAAAATGAATACGGATACATGTATAATCGTATTTCTCCTGTGAAACTATCAAACAAATCAAGTATCTAAATCATTACTGTTACTTGTCTGTGGTGTGTTGGGACCCTACGGTAAGACGCCAAATCCCAATTTGAGGCCCATTTGCCATATATTCGATAAGCCTCGTGTTTGTCTCTGACGGGGGAGGGGCCGAGATGTGGATGTTGGCCAATCGCTGAGAAAGAGAAAACCGATTTCTGCCTCTTTTGATTGGTGGTCTGGTTTGTGCGCAGGGAGAAGCAGGAAGTTATGACAAAGGAGATTTTAAAGTGATTCATAAGAAGGTTTAATATCATAAGGGTTTGTTTTACACTTTATAAGAAAGATAGCACACACATTTTCCTTTTATTTTAAACAAATACACCAAATATAGCTCGGTATTTGATGGAATGGACGCAGTGCTCGCCTAATGTTTCATTCCCCAATTTTAATGTGTGAAACATGTAATGCCAAGAAAGGTTTTTTTTTTTTTTAAATTCTATTCTGTATTATTTGTGGCGTTCTTTCATGGGGGAGGGTCTTATATATAATGCTGTCCAATCATTGAGGGGGAGCCATCTTCAGCAATTTGTGACTGGGCTTCTTTAGGGGAGAAACGGGAAGCGCTTAGAAGAAAGGTAAGTGAACGCACAGAGGCCCAATACTTAATTGTAAATGTTTAATTTGCAGTGGGTTTTTTAAAAAGTATTTTAAATAAACGTCAGGACATTTAATGGAATGTACGAAATCGGTTATGACAAAGACAGTACTGTAAATAAACTCTTGACGAGTCAACTGTTAGTCGCTGAAAGGGGCGGGGCTTCGATGTGACGTTTTACAGTCTACCTAATGTTAATGTGATTGGTCGGTTCACCTGCGCGACAGGAAGGATGAGAAGGAAGGCAGAAATGAACGGACGCTGTACTGAGGTTCGAAACTTACTTGTGAGAGTTTTATTTACCGTGTTAGTCTTTTTGAAGTATTAAAACTCATCAAAACCTTTAATGGAACAGACATGACAATTTGCGTCAAAAAGGAGTGCCTCTGACTAATCACCGAGTGTGCGATTGCTGTGATTGGTAGGCTACGACGCGCGCTTCAAAAAAGGTAGCAATGAGAAGCAAGGGAAGTAATATTAGTCTTTTTCTTTTTTTTTTTTTAAAAGAGAAATTTGTAATTATGGAATGGAAGCTATACTTTGTGTCACGCGATGTGATGTTGTCCAATCAGGAAAGGCAGCCAACTTTCACGTCCTGTCATTGGTCGTCTTCGTCACGCGCGCGAGGAAACAGGAAGTGATAAGAAGGAAAGCAAGTGCCCCTCGTTGACGCTGCTTGGACTCTCCTGTCATTGTAAGGGTTTCATTTACTACTGTGAATGTTACTTTTAAACAAACAAGGGGCATTAATTCAGTGAATAGAGGCTATAGTAGCTTTCGTCAAGTAGAGTTACACTACTTCGTTTGGAGTACGAGGGCATGTTGACAGTTTATGCAACAAACGTGTCTCCTCCTCCTCCTCCGCCGTCGTCTGCTGCGCTCGGCGTGCCGACGTGATGGCTTTATTTTTAATCAGAGCAGACTATTAGCCGGGACATAATTGCCAAAGTCCATTATTCTTTTTTTTTTCTGCGGGGTCTATTAGCGGTTTGCTAAATGGCAGGCAGTCTGCTCGGTGCGTATCCAAAGTGCACGCTGTACAACTATTGTTTGGCTCAGAAATGTGCTCGCCTTTATTGTCAGTGCAGGCAAACCCCCTGTGAGAGCTGCAAGAAGAAGAGTAGAAACAAGAAAGTTGAAACACGCACACACACACACACCACGCATACGCACACAGAGTTGTGATCACATACCATGACAGATGTGTGTGCTTGTGTCAGGAAGGGAGGCTCTGCAAGTCTCTATGTAAAGACACTGCCTCTTCTAGTAGAATCACCAATAAATGTACGTAAATAAGACACTGATGCCACATTCTCCCCTGCGTGACCATTAATTAATGCATGGCTAAAGAAGGTTCTTTTTTTCACATTTAAATTGAAAGTGTTAACATGTACAATTTAAGCCTGGAATCAGCACCGGTGCGGTTCTTTTTCTCACTGTCAGTCCTCCAAGGGCCATAGTACATGAGTTAAAAATTATGATGTTGTGTACATGCAAGGTGTTCCCCAAAATTTGACATGATGTGAATTATGCATATCTGACTTGCTACCTTTTCGACAAATTAATGTAATATTACCTTCCTCTGAATTGTTTGTGCCATGTCCAAATCTGCTTTCTGGTGTGGTGTGTTTTTCTTGAATTTTCTCCAAAATGCACACTACGCACTTGACTGTGTGTTTGAGCATGTCATAACGCACAAACACCTTTTCATTGCTCGTGAAGTCATTCTTCACAGCAAAAGAACAAGTTAAGCACGAAAATAACATTGAACCTAACTCCAACTCATGAATCTTATTTTTTGCGGTCATATCTTGTTGAAGCCAGAGTCGGCGCAGTGATATGACTATGAAATTGATGTCCACTGTTAGGGAACACACTCTTTATTTGAGGCATTTGTGAGTTAAATGTTTTGTTTTGTTTTTTGACTCAGCAGTTCTTCTGAGGCAAAATGTTTTTTGTTAGAGTGACACAGTGGACTAGATCAAATCCTGGCCCCCCATGTCTGAGGTTCCTATTCCCTTACTTTAATTCGACTACTGTCTCAAGGAAATTGTAATAAAACAGATCGAAACCCATTTTTTTCCCCCCCAATATTATCCAATACCGTAAAATTACAGAACTTCTCAGGTGAACATTTATGCAAGACTGAAATAATAATCTTAAATTTCTGGCATAGCAATAGACACATTTGATTCCAGGTTTTAGAAACTTCCCAAGTAAAGGTTATTGGACGGAAAAGGTCTCCTTGGTTAAAACTCCTTCAAATCAATGTGACCTTTATTTGTCATTACCCCCATCCCTCAAAAAAAAAAAAAAAAAAATTCACATATAACGTAGTCAATCATCTCCCGCTTCCCCCTCAAAGTAAAAATAAAAAAGCAACTGCTGTCTGGTTATTGCCAGTATCCATCTCAGTCGTCAGAAAAGCTGCACGTTTTTGCTGTTGTTAAGGGCTGGAAAGCAGAATCCCATTGGAGTTGCACCCCAAGGAACAAATTTAATGCTAGAAAAACATCCCGGCCATCAACCAAAAATGACGGATTGAAAATAATGTCGAGCTATCTTGGGAATCCCCCACCAGACAAGGGAACAGACTGCATTGTTTTTCTCATTTATGTGATATATAGAACAGAAAGAGGGGGAAAAATGGGCGATTTATTGGTGAGATAGGCGCATTCCTTCCCATGCACCAAAGAAATATTGGATTGCAATGTCGGGATCAAGCCACATCATGACATTGTTTGGAAGCGAGGTGCTCAAACATGTAAGCCATCATCTGTTGGGCGGCCCGCCCGCGCCTTTCGCGATAGATCACTCAAATGCAAATGCGTGTGGGGAAATTGCGGCAAGTGGCCACGTGCCGATGTCAATGACGTGAGGTGTAAATTGCGCTTCCTTTAGCAGGGCGACCAGATGAGGAAGCGGAGGGAGAGCCCGTGCACCCTCGAGACGGCCACGTTGCTCAGTCCCCTGGGGACCGTCCGAGTCGACGCGTGTGACAGCGGCGTGCACGCCGTCCGGATCCTAATGGATGTCGCACCTGCTGAAAGGTACCGTACCACAGCCGGCCCGCTGACGCCATAAACAAAGGTGTGAAATTTACAGGCAGACAGTATCCACTCCTGTGATGGAGTGCCGCCATCGCTCATCGCGAGCGGGGGTGGGGGGCTTTTTGTAGATCCCACAAGAAATATCCCGCACGAAAGTTGGGCAAATATGAGGAGGCGCTAGAAATATGAGGGCCACTCGAATATGGTCGGCCTGGAAATTGGATTTCCGGCGGCGCGCGCCCGCTTGTGATTTTTTTTTTTCTTTTTCTTTTTCTCCTTTTTTTTTCACCCTCCGTATTTGAAATTTCACCCAAGTAACCGGTTTATTACTCACGCGGGAGTCGATTAGAGCGCCGTGTCTGCGGGGGTCGCAAACGGCCACGT